ATTTTAATGATGATGAGTAATATAGTTATAAAAAGAAATATTATAGTTCTCTTTTTGTTGATTATATAATTAATATTTGATGACAATGAGAAGTGAATGTAAAAGGTCTCCCTAACTAAGATTTTGTTTTAATATCATTCATAAAGTTAAAGATAATGCACAACTATAGTCATATAGTTTGGCAGTGTAGGACTGCAATTACACTATATTTAGATGATCATGAGATACATTTGTCCAATCCTTTTGTTTATCTAAGCCATGTTTAAATCTTGGGTGTTTAATTATCAAACATGTCTATGTTTCACTCTTGGACATCGGTAAAGTAAATGTCATTATTGTGTTATTATCATGTCAAAAAATGAAAAGTACATCTCAAACAAAGGATTATGTCATCATAGAAGTCGGGAAAAATCCAAAACTACCACTATAAAAAAAATTACAAAAATACCACACATTCCCAACAATTTGTTTTCCAGAATGTCGTCTCAACAATTGCAGAGATGGGGAGTGCACGACATTCCCTATAGACGTTGTTGATACTCTCGCTTGAGTTTGTTGTGGCAATACCCCATCTGGTACCTCCGTCCTTATGAAACGTCCACATTTCAAGATCATGTTGATAAAGCCACTGCGCACCTTCAGGGCATATCTGACGGATATTCTGCATCTTCTCTTTAAATTTCTTCTCTTGGTACGCGACAACTGATGAATATAAAAAAAAACGTAAGGTAAGCAAGATCGACCTTACCCTCAATACAAGTACACTCGTAAGACTCTTAGGAGAGGTATACATCTCCTTAGAAACACAGTCTTATTGACAGAAAAAGGGGGGATCTGAGGATCGCTTAGAACCCGATTTTCCCAGGTCATGGGGGGATCACGATGATCGCTTAAGTCCTCATTTCCTTAGACATGCATTTCTTTATAAAAAGTCTAAATAAGTGTTGTATTGTATTGATTTAGTCCTCGTTTTATACAGCTGACAAAATTTATATAACAATAAATTAGAATGCTTACTGATCAACCATAGACTATCGGCAAGCTTCTTTCGCTTGAAATTATGGTTCGAGTTGCTCTTGAAATGCCGTATGCACCATCTCTGTGACCAGTTCCAGGCTGGATCCAAGCCTAAGATAACAGCCCGTATACTGGCGTGGCGATCTGAGATGATAGTCAGGTTCGTCCGCCTGGTGACATGGAGCTGAACTTGTCTGAAGAACCATCCATAGCTATCGGTATTCTCTCCCTCCACAATGGCAAAGGCTAATGGATATACTGCTCTATTTGCATCTGCTCCGTTGGTGATCAGTAGAGTACCCTTGTACTTGCCGGTAAGGAATGTTCCATCAACTTGAATCACATGAACACAGTATGGAAAACCATCAATACATGGCTTGAATGCCCAGAAAAGACGCTTGAATTGGCGCTTGTTACCAGGCACCGGCATTTCTTCATCTTGGTAGCGAGGCGAGAAAATGGTGCCAGGGTTAGACACCTCCAACGCCAAAATTAATTTGGGAAGGAATCTATATGATTCTTCCCAGTCACCAAACACGGCAGCCATTGCTTTCTGTTTCCCATGCCACGCTTTCCCATAAAGACTAAAAATGTGGCCGATGATGGTTTTCACCTTCAGGTCGTGCTGCTCCTCAATTAGATGTTTGATAGCCGCGACAACCACCCTTGATTTCAACTGTCGATGACCTTGGGATGTTATTGATGACACACATGTGTGTGTGTTCACCGCACGGGATATGACCCAATGGCCGACTCTCTTGCTCTTGATGGCCTGGACCCTAGCTTTGCATCCCTCATTTTCATTTTTGCATCGAACCATCAGCCTCTTTGTGTTGGAATGAGTTGTTTGCCATTCAAAACTCTGAGTCATTGCTTCAGTGGCAATAGCGTGTCGGACCTCATTCTTCGTTGCAAATTGTTGGCCCTTCGTAAAGCCAGTGAGTGGACCCCATACTGGCACCTCTAGCGGGTCCATGTCGGCATCAACATACCAATCTTCATTTTGAATGTGATTGTAGTATGGAATAGGTACACGATCGCGAGGTAACTCATCACCGTCTGCGTCTGAATCTGGACCGGAATCATCAGCACCTTCCAACGGATCGAAGCTGTCTGCACTAACTTCGCCTTCCTCTTCTTCAACCTCAGGGTCACTAACTGGACTTGGATTGACCTCTTCTTCCATCTGATTATCATCATGAAAGGCACCTTCACCTTCACCAGCTCTGTAATGGTAGTTGTGGTAACTAACACCGCTTTGATAGAAGTTGTACTCGGGTGGGTACTAGTAGCCTGCTTGTTGGTTGTGACCGCCTGTTGAGCTTCTTCTTCATATGAAGGGAAGGATTGATGATGACCTCCAGTTCCATGATGATACTCCTGCCTCCAACTCGAGTCTTGGAAATCCTAGTGGGGATGATCTTCGTATAATACACTCCCACCGTGGATACCCGATGTTTGGCCATCTCCAGAATGACCTACACTTCCTTCGACGGCCTCGGTGTAAACGAACATCTCTGCTTGCTTAATTTTATTGGTGGTCAAAAATTGGACCATGGCATCAACGTCCTCCTGAGTGGTAAGGTGGAATTCCTCATTCCACAGCGACCCGTCATGTCTGTTTGGATATCGATACACCATTTGATCAACTCTTCTAGTGTCATCCATGCAGGTAATCTGAGTGCACATTTGATGGAGCTCTTCAAGCATCGGTCTTGTACGGACCTTCATTTTATAAAAGTTGCCACCGACATAACTTACACCCTTTTTGGTCTCTTCCGTGTAACCATTCCACCGCAACCCAAGCGTGAACCTTTGGAATGCCATCTGCAATAAAACTGTAATTAAGTTACTAACATAAAATCACAAAGGACAATGAAAAGTGATACAAGAGGGACATGACAATGAAAAGTAATTAAGTTACTAACATAAAATCACAAAGGACAATTGAAAGTAATACAAAACAAACTTACGAATTAACGTTAATCGCAAAAACTAAATAATTTAAAGGTGAAAAACTGAAATTTGAAGAAGGAAGGAGGAGGAGTGTGAAGAATTTGAGTTCTCTGAAACAGCCTTTTATAGGCGAATTTTGCAGCACAAACCGCGCGGGGGGGGGGGGGGGGGGGGAGCGGTTTTAGGTCTGCCATGCAGCCCCACCCCCTGCATGCCGACATGTCTGCTGTCGGGTGACCAGGCACAAACCGCGCCTTGGGGCAACGGTTTATGTCTGGAATGGTAAACCGCAGCCTGGTGGGGCGATTTATCATGCCGACATTTAAACGCCTCCTCTTAAAGCATTTTGTGGTAGAGTTAGTATATAACCGTGCCTTCCATGAGCGGTTTTAGCTGGAATTTAAAAACGCCTGTTGGCGAGGCGCTTATAATGTAAATCGCTGCCAGGAGGCGCGGTTTCTATGTTAACCGCCCATTAGAAGCGCGGTTTTTAAGAAACGATGGTATTTTTTGAAATTGTTGGGAATGTATGGTATTTTTGTAATTTTTTTTAAACAGTGGTAGTTTTGGATTTTTTCCATAGAAGTCTCTCTTTGTTGTAAACAAAGCGAAGTCAAACTTTCTACCACTTGACAACCTCATTAATTTTTTATGATTTTATTAGAGTCAAATAGTGAAATTTCAAAACATTTTTTTGGGTGTATTAGGATATGCAAGGGTATCTTTGAGTTTAGTCGTATTGGCAGTAAGATCAATCTACTCAACTGAAAAATGCAACTTCTAAGTTTGTTGAGTTATACATTGATCAAATGCAAAACTTGGTTGAAAAGTGAACTCCATTCGATCATGGCATATGATAATTTGAACTCTTTACGTGAAGTGGTTGTCACCAAGTTGAAGGAAATGTTATATGCTTTCAATATTTGGCCTAAACATTTACAGGGATTTAAGATAAAAATAATGAAAGACCATGTACCACTTACGAGGTTGAAATTGTTTGGTCAATCGAAGATAAAATGGTAGTAAATATGATCTTTCAAGTGGGGACAAATTTATCATCGATTGAACAATCTACTACACTGGAAAATGCAACTTCTAAGTTTGATGATTTATACATTGATCAAATAGAGAACTAGATTGAAAGTCGACTCCAGTTGATTATCACAAATGATAATTAGAATTATCTACGTGAATTGGTTTGTCACCAAGTTGGATGAAATGTTACATGCTTGCAATATTTGGGCTAGACAATTAGATGCATTAAACTGAGGGCACTCAAAGGTTAAAAAAGCTCAACAAAGAATAGTATTCAAACATAAGAGGTATGGTGAAGGAAAAGGGAAGGGAACTGGTTAATATATAATTAATTGCACTCTCAGATCCTTCACATGTGAATTTCGATACTGAAGGAAAGTTATCAAAGGAACTTTTTGAGTTAGTGAGAGAATAAGAAGTTTCTCTCACGCAAAATTCCAAAGAGCTATGGCTAAAGAGGGGGATACTAATTCTAGTTATTTCCACAGATCAATGCAAACAAGGATGAAGAGAAATACTATCACTTCTCTAACGGATTTTCAAAGAAATAAGGTTACTTTGGTTGAAGGCATGTGCACTGTGGCTACCGACTTTTACAATATGCCACTTGGTCGAGTAAATCCTCATGTGTCTGGTGAGTTACTATAAGAGAATGCTTAAATATTCTCTTGTCCATGCTCAAGTGGAAAACCTCTGTGATCTAATTACTTCTGCTAAAGTTAAGAAGGTTATGTTCAGTTTTAATGGAGATAAAAGTCCAGGGCCAGACGAATGCAATGCTAGATTCTTTTAAGCCATTAGGGGGCTCATTGGTGATGAAGTCACCTCTACAATCCATAGTTGCTTCTTGGAGGGCAAGATTTCTCGTGAGGTAAATGCCACCATCCTTGCCTTAATACCTAAAATACAAAGTCCAGAAGACATAAAAAGTTTCAAACCTATTTCTGGCTGCAATATTGTGTATAAATGCATCTCTAAAATAATTGCAAATAGATTTAGTGCTTGTCTCCCCTTAGTAATTAGCAAGAATCAAACTTTCTTTGTCAAAGGGAGGGTGACTCACTTCTACTGTCACTCCAGGAATTGGCCAAGTGAAACCACTTCCTAAAGCGTAATATAGCGGGTTTGGGTTTAATTATCAACCCGGGTCCTAGATTTGATGACTACTCAGTGAATTCTTGTTATCTAGCAATGAAACTTTAATGCAAGTCCAAACTAACAAACTAACAAAGCAAGTAAACTGTTGTATTCAGGTTAAGAGAGGTCACCCGGATATGGTTCCCCCTAGACTGCAGTTAAGCCGGATTGTAATTACCAAGTTCAGTTTCTATGATAGTTATACTGCGGAAGGTTCTTAAACAGCCTGAAGTCTCGACTAAAGGTCTTCAGACCCTCTCAATCTGAGTCTCTAGCGGGCGACTAACCTCCACCGGAGTAAACAGATTGAGGCCTTAACAAACAAAACCTCCACTACCGGAGTAAATCCGGTACAGAATAGTGAGTTGGCTCCTCGACTAAAGTCACCAACTCCCTACCTTCAATCAAGGATGCTCTATCAACCTAGGCAGATATTCTCATTCTAGGTTAAAGCTGAAACAACAGGAATTTGATCAGGATTCATGCCATTCAATCATTCAAACCTCAATTGAATATAATCAAATCATAGAATCAGTACTTGGGTTCATACAATCAAACCTAACACACAAATCTAGGGTTCTCCATACCCAGATGAATGGGAGAACTACTCCACAGAGAAAGAAGCAAAAGCAGAATCAGACGCGGAATTCATACTGTGAAGGATGGATTCCTGCTTCTGGACGTTGATCGGCACTTCTCCAAGCTCAAACTTCCCTCCAATGGTGTTGAAGATCAAGCTAGGGAACTTGGAGACTCTTGTTCGTTGCTTTCTCTCTCTAGGAATCGCTCTGTCTCTCTAAAACTCGAATCCCCTTCTCTTTGGCTGAAAATCTGCTTAAAAGGGCATCAGTGGCCAAAGCACGATCGAGGGCACGGCCGTGCTTTGCCTCAGCCCGCCCGTGCTTTGGCTAGTGTTAATTACACGGCCAGTGCAATGGGGGAAACACGGGCGTGTTTTGGAGAGGACATGGCCGTGCTTTGGTTGACACGGCCGTGCTTTCAGCCCGTGTTTTTAGCCGATATTTGCCACACTCAAATTTGCTCTCGGCAGTAAAAGCACGGCCACAGAACACGACTGTGTTCTGTTTTAGGTCTGCCCGTGTTTTGACTCCAGCTCGACGAAATGACTTCTGAATGCCCCGAAACTCGTGCTTAGCCTTTCCTTTGACGCCTGGGACCTGAAATATGACAAAATAGCACAACCCGGCGTAAAATAGGCCAAAAATACACGACTGTGCCCCTCAAACGGATAAGAATTAGGGGTGCAAATACGTGCAATTACATCGTTATCAGAGGGTTATTGGTGAAACATTCTTCTACCTCATGAATTAGTGCATAAGTATATAAGGAAGATTATATCGAGTAGATCAGCCTTGAAAAATGATCTTATGAAGGCGTTTGATTCAGTCAATTGGAAGTTTCTCCTTATAGTGTTGAAAGCCATGGGCGTGCCTCCTCTTATATTCATTGTTGGAACTACTAACCCCCAATTGGCTAGTCCTATGCAGAGTGTTGCTTTCAATGGGGGGTAGTAGCTTACTTCCTTGCTCAACATGGTTTAAGTCAAAGAGATACTCTTTATCCATATTTATTAGTTGTAGCAATGAAGGTTTTCTCCTGTTTGCTTGATCTTGAAGCTAGAAAGGATATATTCCCTTTTCACCCTTTGTGCAAAGATCGATATGACTCATCTATGCTTTGCTGATGATCTATTAGTGTTCTCTGATGGTTCTAATTATAGTATTCAGAGTGTGGAAAAGGTCATTGAAATCTTTCATAAACTCTTTGGTCTACAATCAAACCTGAGTAAATCCAAAATATTCTTAGGGGGTATTGATAAAGAGGAAATGGTGGCAAGAGCAAGCAGGTATGGTTACAAACAAGGAAACTTCACTGTTAAATAATTGGGGTGCCACTAGTGGCTGGTAAGCTTATTGTGATGCTTGTAAACTCTTAGTTGATCGAATTACCGCAAGAGTTCAGGGCGGGAAAGCTAAAGCACTTAATTATGCTCGCAAGGTTGAGCTGGTGCTGAATGTTTTGTATAGCATGTCGCAGTATTGGATGAGTGTATTTCTTCTGCCAAAGGCTCTAATTACAAAAGTTGAGAGGATCTGCAACAACTTTCTTTGGTCACGAGGGTTAGGGGTAAAGCTGGAACAAGAATGGCATGGAAGTATTTGACATTCCCAAAGAAAGAAGGGGCCCTCAGTTTAGAGGATCTTATTACCTGGAATTACATGTATTTTCATGTAGATTTGGGCAATAATGTTGCAACACGGCTCCTTGTGGGTTTCCTCGTTTCATGCTTACAAGATAAAAGGAAGGAATTTCTGGTCTATTAACATTGATGGCTCCTGGGATTGGAAGAAGCTATTGAAAATAAGAGGTAAGATTCCTAACCTTTTTAGCTTGCATAATGGCCCGCTAAAATGGAACAATTTTGATTTGCCAAGGTACTCTATTAAAAAGGTTTGGGAAGTTATAAGAAGAACCGGGGAACTAGTATAAACACATATGGAAAGGGACTGCAATCCCACGAAATCACTTTCTGGTTTGGCTTATCCTAAGAGATAAGATTCAAACCAAGGACAAGATGAAGAAGGGTTTAATAGCTCTGATCTCTGTTTGCTCTGTGGACAACTTGATGAGACGCGAGATCACCCTTATTCTTCTTGCTCTTACTATATTTCTGTTCATAATTAAGTAGCTTTTTGAGGAATTTTCCGACTTTCTTCCACACGTACAATTGGAAAGATAACCTTGCTTGAGCTATGTTGGAACTTTTGGGGGCGAGGGTATACGTACAATAGCCTGATACCGGGTGGCCAGGATTGTGATAGAGTCGTGAACAACGTTCACTTTCCGAAAAGAATATTTCCACTCTCTACAAAGGCTTGGGTTACAGGAAATTTCTCCCGAGGATAAAACTATCACCACTTTAGGTTCCAGGCTCAAGAACACTAAAGTATATTTAGAAATTTTTGGAAGAAAGAAGAAGAATATGTTTGATGGTGTGTGGCATCATGCACCCCATACACATATTTATAGGGGCCGAATCCATGCATTGTTTCATGAAAGGTTGCCTTTATCCATATGAAAGGTTGCCTTTATCCATATGAAAGTTTATCCTTATCCATATGAAGGGTTGCCTCTATCAATAAGGTTATCCTTATCAATAAAATAATGCAACCGCCACTAGGCCAAAGGGATGTGTCCCTTCACGGAATTAGAATATCGCTTCGGTCGGTCTAATCCCAAACCGGTTGATCGGTCCAACCCAAAACCGGTTTGACTTGGTTAGTCCGGTTCAACCAAATTTTCAACGTTCCTCCCCCATTTTAGTGTATTATAGAATTCACTAAAATCACAACATTCTTCCAACAAAACTTAAGCATAAATGAAAATGTCGTGACGATTGAATTTTCACATTAGTATATTACACTTGACGAATACTCGAATACAAAGGGTGTCGGTAACGATTGAACCCATTGAATCATATGAATATTCGAAGATAATATACACTTAAGTATTCAAAACTTCTAAGTGCCTTGACACTATTATCCGCCATGTGTCCAATCCTTCTCATAAGCGCACACGAAACCAAAGTCCGGGTTTCTTGAAGCGGCTGCACTTCATGCTTACGTAGGTTGAATCTCTATTCGTGTAACCGCATAATACACTTTTTCAAAGATTCAATTAAGAAGTTTTAAACTTCATCCTCTTCTCTCATGCAGGATAACAAGCACATACCTCGGGATGACAAATTTTGTGCTTCAATTTCTGATAATAAGCTTTCCACATTGAATTCAGCCTTTAATGTTGTATTAGAGGGGAATTGGGTGTCCCATTACCAAAAATTATATGGACTTTAATCCATCCCTTTCACAGACTTAATCACCAAGTCACTAGTTAACCACTTCGTCAAATGATCAACCAAATTAATTTGAGTTTGGTCATACTGTCTAGACACAACACTATGAATGATAAGTTCACAGCTTTTACCGTGCCATACTCCCACATGACCGTACTTATCATTTGCACTTGACTATATGCCTTAGCCAAATTAACATTACTATAACAAAAGACAGTAATAGGTGAGATTGATTTAGGCCATAAATATATGTCATAAACCAAACCTCTCAACAATTATGTCTCTTCTCTAAGAGAAATCAAGGCCACACAAACTTTGATTCCATAGTGAAACTTAGTGATGCAAGTTTGCTTTCTGGAGGCCCAAATTATGGCACCTCTCCCAAGCAAGAGGACCCATCTCAATGTTGAAGTATCACCTTTGACATGAGAAATCCAACTAACATCAACAAATCCTTTCCAAAATTGATGGAAAGCCACTATAAGTCAATACAGTGTGCCTTTGACATATTCTAGTACACAACTCATTTCATTTCAAATGATGAGAACTAGGATTCATCACTTACCAACTTAATTGTTCTATCGCATATGCGATATCTAGCATCATGTAAATCATGCATACATCGAGCCCCCAATTTGATATGGAATAATCCAGTTGTAAAACTGATTTCCAGTATTAACCATAAGTTCCATACTTGGATCCATTGGGGTCTTTAACTCACTACAATTCCAACTATGGAAGTTATGCAAGTACCTTCTCATGCAGAAAAATTTATAGAAGGACTCTTTCGCTTGTCGTTCCGCTTGATTCAATACACAGAATCACAAATGCCTCCCCGGAAAATTGAAATAACAACTTTTTATCAAAGTTCACTTATCTTTTATTGGTCCCAAAGATAAGCATGTCATATACAGACAAATGTACGATGAATTCATTACCAAAATCATCATAAATTGTGTACACATTTTGTCTCCTTGGTTTAAAATAACATAAACCACTAGACAAAATCACTTATCTTTTATTGGTCCCAAAGATAAATATGTTATCTACTTACAAACACAACGACTCTATTACTAGAATCATCAAATATTGTATATACAATTTCGTCTCCTTGGTTTAACGTAAACCACTTAGACAAAACCACACCATCAAACCACTAGACAAATCCATATTTGTCTAGCACTTCGCAAACGTCGAATAGAGAATTAGACAAATTTACCATTGAGTATGTGACCTACCCAAAGGCAATTTTCATTCTTCTACTTCTCCATTTTAAAAATCATTCTCCTTCTTCCTCATCTTCGAATCATCCCTCTTCCAAGTTACCTACCTGATATGGAAGACACCATGAGACTAGTACGAAGAAAAACCATCTTCTACTTCCATCGATGAAATACCCATCATAGAAAATTCTCATGATTCCATAGACCGGAATCTTTAAAGAGTGGTTCGAGCCATCGTACCGGAAAAAATTCTTTTCGATTGTTGGAACTTTTGGGAGCGAGGGTATACGTACAATAGCCCGATACCGGGTGGCCAGGATTGTGATAGAGTCGTGAACAACGTTCACTTTCCGAAAAGAATATTTCCACCCTCTACAAAGCCTTGGGTTACAGGAAATTTCTCCCGAGGATAAAACGGCAGCAGATAGGGTCAGTAACCACTTGGTTACTGACATGTCAGTAATGAATAGGGACTATAGATCTAAGAGGTAGGCAATCGTGTGGTTGGCCCGGACCCTGAGTGGGGAAGGGTATTTTTGTCCGTTTATACATTAAATTCTTTATTTTATTTTATTTCGTATTTAATGGCTGCACTTTTAAGGAAGGAAAGAGAAATCACTTCTCTGCAACTTTCTATCTTCCTTCTCTCTTCCTTTTTCTCTCCCAATCTCTTTTCCAGATCCTCTCTCTTTCTCTCTTCCCTTTTCTCTCTCAATCTCATTTCTAGATCTAAATCTGCTCTCTTCTCTTCTTCTTTATTTTTTTCATGACGAATAAAAATTGGAGCCACTCTTTTTCATTGCATTTCTTCTCTTCATCATCTCATTGGCCTCAATTTCGATCTTTCTCATTTTTTCGGCATTTTGGTGTTCTTGATTGCGGAAGAGGAAATGAGAGGCGACACAAGACGATCTTTTTTCTCTACCTCCTTCTGTTTTTTTTCTTTTAGATAATATATATTGATATTATAACTCTATACCATATGGTATTCGGTGGTAATGAAATATATATTGATATTACCACACTATACCATATGGTAATGTATGGTATTGTGTGGTAACGAACTATATATTGATATTACCACACTATACCATATGGTAATGTATGGTATTGTGTGGTAACGAATTATATATTGATATTATCACACTATACCATATGATATTGTATGGTATTGTGTAATATTACCACACTATACCATATGGTATTGGGTGGTAACGAAATATATATTGATATTACCACACTATACCATATGGTATTGGGTGGTAACGTAATATATATTGATATTACCATATTATACCATATGGTATTGGGTGGTAACGAAATATATATTGATATTACCACACTATACCATATGGTATTGGGTGGTAATGTCATATATATTGATGTGTTAAATTTTTTTCATACCATATGGTATGGTCAATACCAGTCAATACCATATGGTAGTCAATACCAGTCAATACCATATGGTATAGACTGGTAATAACTGACAAATTTTTTTATGTCCAAAAAATATCAAGGTGGATATCATTTTGAAGAGCACAATTAATCTGATCTGACTGTGCAAAAAAATTAAATTTCGACTTAAAACGAGTGAGAAATCGTCCGTTAAAGATTAAGAGAAGGAAAATTAAATGTTTTGCGAGGAGAGAGAAGGCGCTGATGTGATCCGGTCAAAAGTCAGCCTCAGCAATAAATATGAGAAAGTGTCATTTTACTGTATTGCCCTTTTCACATTTAATTTAAATATAAAAGTGTCTGACACGTGGGGACCATAGAAGGGGTTAGTGATGGGTTACTGACCCATCAGTTACTGACCCGATCTGGACCCGGATAAAACTATCACCACTTTAGGTTCCAGGCTCAACAACACTAAAGTATATTTAGAAATTTTTGGAAGAAAGAAGAAGAATATGTTTGATGGTGTGTGGCATCATGCACCCCACACACATATTTATAGGGGCCGAATCCATGCATTGTTTCATGAAAGGTTGCCTTTATCCATACGAAAGGTTGTATTTATCCATATGAAAGGTTGCCTCTATCCATATGAAAGGTTATCATTATCCATATAAAGGGTTGCCTCTATCAATAAGGTTATCCTTATCCATAAAATAATGCAACTGCCACTAGGCCAAAGGGATGTGTCCCTTCACGGAATTAGAATATCGCTTCGGTCGGTCTAATCCCAAACCGATTGGTCGGTCCAATCCAAAACCGGTTTGACTTGATTAGTCCGGTTCAACCAAATTTCCAACAAGCTATCCTGCGATTTGCGGAGGGGCATTCTTGTGCTGTTGCAGGTAGACTCAGAGCTATGTAGGGAAAGCTGCAGGAAAGCTGCAGGAAAGCATATGGAGAGAGGCCGGGGAAGAGATGCAATAGCTCTAGTGTTTGTGGTTAAGAATTAATGAAGTTTTGCTATTGGTTCAAGATCATAGAGACTTAAGGCATTTCTTGTTGATACTGATTAGTCATGATCATAGATTAACCCGAGGCTTAGGTTGAGAATACGATTTTGGTTTTGTTTATAGCTCGTTGTAAAGCTATGGATGGTATCATGCCTAGCTAATAAGGTTGTTGTCACTTCTCAGAACCCCATTTTTTATGGAATGAAAATGCCAGATTCATAAAAAAAATTATATATGCATTGATAATTGTCATCCCTGACACGAAGTGCACAAAACAATAAAGAAAAGCTTGACTCATTAGATTTTATGAATTAGTCAAATATCTATCTATGCATTTAATTTTACAAGTACATCATTCATTTATTACAAATCAGATAAAAAATTTATACTCGGAATAATATTCATTAATTCGACATAAAAAAGAGCGAATTTTGTATGTACATCAATACTGTTAGACCGCTGGTGTCACCGTAACACTGCAGACTACTGGCGATGGCAAAATATATATTCAATGAGAATGAGACTGCAAATAGGTAAGAATTCTACACAAACATTGGACTGCGCTGTATCATCATTTGAGTATATAATAAACACTGGCCCGTTTAGTATCATTTTGTTGTTGTTGTGGTTGCAGTGGTGTTGTGTAAACAGATGTACAACCACAACAGGAAAAAAACAGAAAACACAAACCTGTTTAGTTGATAAATCTGAAAAATCATGAAAGCTGAAAACAAGAAACAAAAATGCGTCTAGTTACTACTATAAATCTTAAAAATACTTTGAAGAAGTCGAAGTTACCTGCTGCGGGGGAGATGGAGTGAGGCTTTTGTGGAGGGGAAGTGGTCGGCGGCGGCAGGGCTGGGTCGGCGGCGGGTCGGCGGGCGGGTCGTCGGCAGCGGGTCGGCGGGCTGGGCTGGCTGCGTGGCGGAGGGGTCGGGCTGCGCGGCGGGCTGGGTCAGCGCGGAGGAGGAGGGGTCGGGCGCGGAGGCAGAGGGGTCGGCAAGCGGACGTCGGCGGCGGGTCGGCAGGCTGGGCTGGCTGCGCGACGGAGGGATCGAGTTGCGCGGCGGGCTGGATCGGCGCAGAGGTGGAGGGGTCGAGCGCGGAGGCGGAGGGGTCGGCGACTGAGGAGGTGGCGGGCGGCGCGGCGGAGATGGCGCCTTGTTGAGAAGGGTGGCGGGTGACGCCTCTGTTGAGAAGGGTTTAGGGGGAGAATAGTTTGGGGGGTGGCGGCTGATATGTTAGAAGTAGGGTTTTGGGGGTGGCGGCTGTGTTAAAATTTTTTTTTGCTTATGTGGGAATTCGAAAACTGGTCTGGTTTAATGAAATCAAGTGCCCAACCAGTAGGAATCCCATGTGCAACATGTTTTAAAATCAGATCCAAAGCAATAAATTGTTGTTTTTCATATTTGGGCCTTGTTTGCAACTCTGATTCACAACAGAAAATAGAAACCCAACTAAACATGTTTTTTTTTTATTGATTTCTCCAATCTTTAAAAACACAACAGGAAACAAAAACAGGCAACAATACTAAACGGGGAGTTAATTAAGTTGATTCCAATAATAAGTGTTAGAAGTGTGAAGAATAAGTTGATTCCAATTATTAATTCAAGTTGTTGGAGGAGTTTCAATAATGGAGAATATATATCATTTAGTAATATACCTCTTCAAATACGAAAGTCATCATATATGAGCTTGAAGTTTGCATTGGATAATGCACAGATGGAGTTATCGAGATTCAAACAGAAGATCTCTCGACTCTCGGTCATAAAAGGTTTCGATATTATACCAAGAACCATTTGATTACAATAATTTGAGTTGTTGCTTACCATAACAAAGACATGCAACACATGCAATGGAAGCGGAGGAGTTATGTTGTGTTGTGATCCTATCCTTTCATATCATGCATCATCACTAACTCGACTTAGGTTGTTGGGTGGGTACGTGGTCACCACTTCTTTCATAGATCGACAGCTCTATATGCCATATCTTAACCAACACAACTACTTCTTTGGATGCTCTAGCTCATTCATGATAATAACGCTAAATGACAAAATAGCTAGCTTAGACAATAATAGTATAACCTATTGCATATGAAAGTAGGGAAGATATGAGATGATGACAAGTCTCCAAAAACACTGAAAAATATCATCTCCTATCCTTATTAATCTATGGGTTATAGGTATAATATGTCGCTCTACTATGACGCTTTATTAAACATGCCCCTTTACTATTTTTTACATCAAACATGCCCCTGTACTTTGTAAAAATGATCAAACATGCCCTTTTGTTAAAATTTTCATCCAAAAAACGTTAACCAAGGTCGAACTTTAGTTTGGGCTACACAAATGACTAAAATATCCATAATAAATTCACGTTAGAATTTTTTTCGTTCTTTTGTATAATCAAAACATTCAAATAATTTCACTTTGAAAAGACCCAGGGAAATAAAACAGGGGACAAATTTGACATTTTTCCTCCCATTTGCCGATGTCGAGTCATCTAAATCTCGGTTCAACCATGATCGACGATTTTTTCAATGAAAATTTTAACAGAAGGGCATATTTGATAATTTTTTCAAAGTACAGGGACATATTTGATGTAAAAAATAGTAGATGGGCATGTTTGATAAAACGTCATAGTAGAGGGGCATATTATACCTATAACCCTTAATCTATCGTACTTCTTTTCCCTAATGAAACCACAAATTTGAATGAGCTGGGGATTAAAAAATTAAAATTAAAATGATTTGAAAGATTAAAATCTTACTGATTTCTCTATTTTCTAAACATAATACAAACTTAACATATAAGTTTACCTATGTTAATTTCAGAGTTGAGAAGGGACTATAGTTCCTTATCTTCAAGGTGAGACTAAAGTACATAACAAGTTGTGTTACCAAAAAAATTTCCCACAAACGTTTAGAAAAAAAACAGGTAATTTCATTTAAACAACAATTAACATTGTATATATTTTTTTAATTTTATGAGTGCCCAATTAGTTGGTACTTAAACTTAATGACTATAAATCGCTTGCAATATATGTACGCTGCAACTGTAAGAACCCAACATGCTAATACTGAGCATAGAGAAGGAAGTCAAAAGTGGAGAGGTCGACGTGGAAACTCACTAGTGGAACAAAAAAGAGTGCGCTCGCGCCTATACGTGATGATTGTGCTTTTTTGTCAGTTGTGGTGTGCTGTTCCTATCCAACGCAATGTAACGGAAAACTCACAGCGGCCGGCCACCAACTTCATTCGCCCATAAAATCCTCGTTCCGCTGCAGCTACAACAACTTCTTAGGTGAAGCCTTTCTTCTAACCCTTAATTTCCACGTTGGCTCCACAGCTATACTGCACATGGCCTGTTTCCAGATACGTACATACATAGCTTTCCACCCTATTTACCACTTTCAATCTTTACATATATGGTTGAATGTATAACTAGGTTCAAAAGTCAAAACATTATGTAAATTATGAATAGTTTACCAAAACATATTTAGGCATTCATGTCTACTGTAAAATAATTAAAGAGCTCTTATGATTATGGTACGTAGAATCGAATTCTTTAGATGATTGTTGGTCTTAAAAATGACAGTTTTCGAGACGTATGCTAGAAGGAGATTCGGAAGTGGTGGCTCGTCAACTAGCTGCAGATCTTGACTCGTAAATGATAGGAGGAGGGTCTGTTCTTTGATATTATCTTTATTATTGTCAGCTCTAGACTAAGGGTCTGAGTTTAGGACCGTCTCTAAAACTGACATAAAATGACTTAGTGAAACCTTCTATCTATCTTATATAAAGGTGTGTGATTCGGTATGTTGGATCGGAAAGGGTTGTAGAGGATAGTATTGACTATTGATAGGGTGCTTTTACTGTGATGCGGAAAAAAGAAAAAAAACATCCACTTGTTTAAAATGGCCGGCCAAAAAGCAATAAAATTATCCTCCGACATAGCCTGGGATCCCCCAAACCCAATCCAGACTCATAGAGTTTCAAATCTTAGGGTAGAGGTATGTGTAACTTTTAAATAATGTGTTGTTACTAGGCCTGTTGGTTCGGTTCAGGTCGGGTAACCGAATCCAAAAATCATGGAAAACCGAAAACTCGAATCTGAGCCACACAACCTGAAACCGAAACCGAACTGTGCTTTGTGGGTTTCGGGTGCTGAAACCCGAACTGTATGCTGGCGGGTTTGGTTACCGTTTTGAGTTTTTTTTTTTACTTTTGTGAATTGAATTTTACATTCTTTGATTGTACAAACAATTTTATTCTTATTATTTGTACATTCTTATTTAACCATTATATTTAATTTTATGGGTGGTGGACAGTATAAAACTAATATTTACATATTAGTTTATTATTAAAATATTAGTTAATTATTAAAATATTTAATTTTATGTATTCTATAACTATAGACATACTATTAACTATTAAAGAGTATTAGTAGTTTAGAGACAAAGTAAAATACTTAAACATATTTTATACGTAACTTAATCATATCTTATTTAATTGTGGATTTTCGTATAATTAAATGTTTTAGTAATACCATAGGTCCAAAATTGACGGTATATCAACTATCATATGAAAAAAAAAATTGGTGTTTGGCGCAAAATTATAAATAATTTTGTTCAACATAAAATACCGACAATCATAGATGAGATAATCTTCAACTCGTAATTAAACACATTAGTTTTACAATTCTAAAATTATAACATCCAAGTAAAATAAAAATCCATCCACCATACAAGATAAACACTACTACAAATATCACTCCTCATCAGGCTCTACGTCTACATAAGTCTCATCATTCTCATCAGAATTGTCGTCGACATAGTCTTCTTCCACTTGTGACATAGTAGGACTCGGGACCAAAACATGGGTAGCAGGAGAGCTTCCACTAGGTCCTGCATGAGAGCTTCCACTAGGTCCTGCAGGTGCACTTGCACTCCGAGCTTGAAAAGCTGCATATACTGGATAACATAAACAATAACAACTTGTTAGAATATGACTTGATCAAGATAACAAATATAAGAATAAAGAGAAAGATTAAGTCTTTACCATTTTGAAATACCACTCCATCAGCCACCAACTCGGAGTCTGAAGATCTTATCCAATCTTCACAACAAATAAAAGCCTCCACAGCTTCAGGGGATAAGGAGGTCCTACAAGAATCTAAAACTCGACCTCCTGTGCTGAATGCCGACTCAGAAGCAACAGTGGAAATAGGAACAGCAAGAATATCCCTAGCCATCTCAGAAATAGTAGGATATTTCATCCCACTTCGCGACCACCATCCCAAGATGTCAAACTTGTATTCATCCTCTTCTGAACCCACCAATGCTCGTGTAACCACTTCATCATCCTCCTCCTCCTCAAGGTACCTATCAAACTCAGATTTGGAACTTTTCTAGTTCCTTTCACTACAAGAAAATTGATCTTTCATAACGGGAATTTAATTACGGTTTTTTCCCCGTTACTTAATGTTTAACTACGGTCACGGGAAATAAATACCATGATTAATTGGGGCAAACAATTTTATTTAGCAATGGGATATTAACCCGTAATGTTTTTTTATTAGTTTCCCGTGACAAAGGACACGAATTTGTGTTGGCGGCAAGTATAATTGTTTTGGCTCCAATTTTATGGGTGTTGGGCTTTTGGCTCCAAGGGGTGGAGTCCGCTTTTGGGTCCAATGAAAAGTAAAGTGTATCAAAATAATTAAAAGAGAAAAAATATAACATAGCTAGAGAAGCTGGGATATTTTCTGGTTCTTCTACTTTCCCAAAATCCCCACCCACAGAAAACCGCTCACCCTATCTTTATTCTACTTGCTCATTCCTTCATTGATAATGAAATGCAAAGCGTCACACTCATCTTGTGGGACTGGTGAAGGATCCAGTACGCCGGCTGTCATCCCCCTTGTAAACTTTCGGAGGATTGCCTAGGTTTCAACCACCGCAACTACAATAGGAGAAGAGGGGAAGGGATTAGGACGATGAAATCAGCTTGAGCTCGGGAAGCTGGGAACCACTACGCCCCTAATCTCCATTGCTGATTACCTTTGGTTGCTTAGATCCAGGTAAGCTGAATTCATCTCCCGCGTCCACCCTCCCCATTTTTTTCGTTTATCAGAAAAGCAAAACCATGGTTGGATACTACTTCGCTATTAGCTCAGTTCTTCCTTTTAGTTAGTTCGATTATTGAGTTTCATTTTCCCCCGCCAACTCTTTGCCTATTTCCAACTTTATCCTTTGATTTGGTTCTGATTCCTTCTAATTAACCTTTACCTTCTGTAGGGATTTTGGGTATTGGTGGTTGGAAACAGAGGCAAAACAGGGACTTCGAGTAAGGGTGTCAAGTCAAGTTCAGCAAACTAACTCAAGGCAATAACAAATTTCATAGCCTTTTCTCTTTTTCAAAGCTTTGTAAAAGAATTGAAAATTGCAAGTTCTAATGAGATTTATTGTTAATGCGTAGGTTCCATTCATAGGAAAAGAAAACAAATACAATATCATAGTATAGGCGATGGGTTGTGGCCAACTCATTGAAAGATGTTCCGGAATTCGTAAGTAAAGAGGATTGGGAATGGCTAGTGAAGGAGAAGTTCCTTTGCAGAGAATTCAAGGTAAAATCATCATACTTTACTACTTTCTCATATTGGTTCACTTGATATTTTATTTAATATTCAATTTTCACTTTATATAGAAGATGAGCAAGACCAATGAGGAGAATAGAGCGTTGAAAACAATGAATCAACATAGTGGAAGGAGACCTGTTCGACAAATTGCGTTGGATTTGGTATATATTATTTGTCTTTCTCATTTTAGTTGTTTCAAAATTGAAGATTATGAAGCTCTCAACCTCTGTTAAGTAGTCTATTGTATTGATTAAATAACAAAAGTAACATAGTTATAGTAGGACTACAAAGACAGTATGCTACCAAACTGTTTGTTTCTAACTTTTAATATGTTATTATATATGTGTTGCCCTAGTGTTAGGGAAGTCAGTTGTATATTAACCCAACCCATATTTAGTATCTTATTGTATATTAATCATTCTTACATTGTAGGAAGAGAAGTTGGGCAGACCTCCAACTGTAGCCGAGCTTGTTTTTGAGACCTATAAAGAAGGAGACATGATAAAAGATGATGCGGCAATTGAAAGACATGTAATTTCTATTAAAAATTCTTGCCTTTAAAACTTAGTTTGCTTGCCTATTTTAACTGTGATGTGTGTTCTTGGTTAGGCTAAAATACTTGAGATCATGTAAGCCAATCCAAACTTTACTGCACTTGAAGTGGTAGAAGCAATATTAGGAGAACAAAAGCGTGGTCATGTGATTTGTTTTGGAGGCAGATTGAGACCTAAGGATTTGAAGAGCTCAACTTCCACAACGAATGCAAATGCTGCAGATTTGGAAGCTCAATTGAGACGATCAGATGAAGAAAAGGAAGCTCTTCAACAAACTGTTACCGAACTGAAAGATACTGTTACTGAACAAGCTGAAGAGATGGCCAATATGAAAGCTGAAATGAAGAAGTTGCAAGAGCTGTTCGAAAGTAGTCAAAATCGACAACATTAGGTACGTATAATTGTGCTTCCTAGACAACTTTAGAACACCAAATTCTTATATTATTGAGTTGTTGTTTGGAGCTAGAACATTGAACTCTTATCCTTTAATTAGCTGCTAGTTTTTTTTTTTTATTGTTTGGCGAGTGTGGTTGCATATGAAATCAGTTTTAGAACACTAAATTCTTGGCTGTTTGTTGAGCTGCTGTGATTTTGTTGTTTGGAGTGTTGTTGCGTATGAAATAGTTGAAAATTGAATTCTTGGCTGCTTGTTGAGGTGTTGTATTTTTGTTGTTTGGAGAGTGTGCTTGCCTATGAGATCAGATTCAGAACACTCAATTCCAAGATGTTTGTTCAGCTGCTGTGATTGTGTTGTTTGGAGAGTGTGGTTGCCTATGAAATTATTTCCAGAATACTAAATTCATGGTTGTCTATTGTTATGTTATTTGGTTCTTCTTTGGAGAGTGTTGATGCTTATAAAAGTTGTTCCAGACATTTCATTCCTAGTTGTATATTCAGTAGTTTTGGTTGTTCTTTGGAGAATGCTACAGCTTATGAAAGAGTTTTAGAACAATCAATTCATGGCTTTTTATTGAGATGTTTTGTTGTTGTTTGGGCAGTGCTGCTACCTTCTCATTGACTCTAGAATGATTTGTTTTAGTACTTCTAATGTTAGTTTTTCTATACATGTTTGTTATTTAACAAAGGTAATTTTTTGTAATTTCTCTTTTATAATTCAGAAGTGCAGCATAAGGTGGTCGGCTGAAAGAAAGGTGAAGCACAAGAAGAGTAGTTCAACCTTGCACAGTGTCGAGTGCAATGGCAATTTTGTTTTGAAGAAACCTAGAAACTACTCTAGCTTATTTTGTTGAAGCATTGGTATTTTGTGATATGATGGATTAGATAGGTTCCATGTCCCCCAAATGCTTCCAGAATGCATTCTTAATTGTAAACTAACGTTGACGAGTGAATTATATATATATATGGTGGCTTCTATGGTATCCCGGGAGAAATTCAGGGTACCGTATACCTTGAGTATGAAAACACTATCTAGACCTCGAAATAGAAAAAACTCTGGGTTTGGTACTATACCCTAATCCTTATTGAGTGAACCCTAGGTACTAATTATCTAAATATAAACTATAAACCCTAAGACGGAGCATTCATTTTTTGCCTATATTTGGACGAATCATAGCCGTCGATTATTGTTTATAATTAAATTGATAATGGAGTATAAGATTTAGGGAGCTAAGACCTAGATTTTGATCTTTAAGGGTTAGAGTATAATATCATGTCCAAAAGATCAATCAATTTAAGGTCTGGATAGCGTTTCATACTCAAGGTACGCGGTACACCGGATTTAACTCGGGGTACCGTAGAACTCGCCATATATATATATTGATAAGTCTTCTTAATTGTTTCAAGCGAAAATTCATTCGTTAACTATTGTAGGTATTTCAGGTTACTTTTATCTACTGTCAATTACAAAGTTTTCTGTGACTAGTTGTGAAACTTTACCATGACTAAATGTTTAGTAACAATAACAGGATTCTCCCGTAACCGGAGAAAAGTATACATCACAGGATTTTCTCGTAACTAGTAGCAACTATCTGTAACGGGATTCTACTGTGACTAGTAAGAACAAACATCACGGGTTTTCCCGTGATCGTTGAGACAAAACCCGTTACTTTAGCATGGACACCGGCCGAGCATTCTCGTGACTTTTGGACAAAATCCCGTGCCAAATAACTCTATTTGTTAGGGGAAATCCCGTGACAAGTTTAAATTTTCGTCACGGTTATGTTCTCGTGTTAAATAATTAGCCACGAGAATTACCGTGACAATTCAGATTATTTGTCATGGGATTATTCCTGTTATTGTATATTTTACGTCAGAGGAATTCCCGTAATCATTGATTTTTAATTACGGGCATGCTTGTCACGGGAATATACCGTGACTAAGTGCTTCGGTAACGGGAAATGGCTGTTTTGTCACGGGAAATCCTGTGATGGAAGGTGCATTTTCCTGTAGTGTTTCAGAATGGTCTCTCTTTTCATTTTCCTAAAATCACCCCAAATCTTCCCTTTCTTCTTCCCATCCCTACTTCCACTAGGTTCTTGCACATCTTCCTGAATCACAATGGGAGAACTGCCAGGAAGTCCGAGCCTATGCTTGTAATGGTCAAACAGAAGACACATTTCATCTTTCACCTCTTTGGCCAAAGCTTTACCCCTGCTCTCACCATATACCTTCTTCAAAGCTTGTTCAAGATATTCAACTTTCCTCCTAGGATCTAATATGACTGCCATATAACACAACCGATTCATCTTGGAATTCTCCACCTCATCTTCAAACCAATACTTGGCAAGTTTGGACTTGATTCTCTCAGCCATGCAAGACACCTCAAAATCTATACTATCAGCCCAGTCAGATATCATAGTATACATTTCACATACCTCATCAAACAAGAGGTGTAAAGTCACATATGAAGTCCCAGAAACTTGAACAGTCAAATCATAGAATAGCTTCAGGTAATCAATCAACCTGCCCACACTAGACCAATCATCAGAAGTTGTGATACCAAGGCTTTCTATTCCATATTTTTTTTCATTGAGATGTTTCTTGAATTTCTTATCATTTCTAGCTAATGTCTGAAATGCTTTCTCAAATGGCTTTGCATATTCCAACATCATATACGTTGAGTTT